TATATTAAGTCCAAAATAATATAACCCCTAACGTTCCCCCCAATTTGTAATTATTTTTTTGAATAACTTTCAAAAAATTGCTAGTTACAAAAGAAACGACTAAAAATATTCAGAAGCACCATGTCCTTGGTTCACAGTTATTATCAATTTATTGACATTTTCTCTGACAATTCCAGTGCTAAACAATTTAGCACCTGAAACTGATAAACAAATTTCAAAAATTGCAACAAAAAAAAACTTAACGCAACTGAACCTGCCCGGAAACGCGTGGCCGCTGAAGGATCCCTTCGCAAATTGATTTTTTCGTAGACCGGCCATCCGTTACCCACGTCCCCTAAATTCGAGGGTTGACTGACACGGTCGGCCCTCTCTTGTTACACAGGCATTCAATAACGTTTCCGCTTCGGTGTGACAGATCTACCCGAAGCACAAGGACCTTTACAACTGGGTGGACGTCGATCAGAGAGTGTACGTCCCTTTCAACATGTCCTATCTCCAGGAGAGCTTCGGTTATGTGAGTAGACGTTAATGCGAGCCGTGATTATCGTCCGCGAACCGAGAAAGGACCATAAACCAAACATGTAGAGCAAAGCTGCCTAATGCGAGGACCACTCCTAATATGAGATTCTAGCTTGTTTCAGTCACAGATATGCACACCGAGTATATCGCATTGACACTTCTTTGTTTCGTATCAAATCGCATCTTTCATTCTTTCGTCGACTTGACTGCGTTTAGGTTAGTCTGAACTCGTTGTGGGCAACCATGTTTGTCAAATACGTTGCGAAACGTTTTTGAAGGAGTTCGATTACATTAGAAATGTCTGAAAAATGTGTGGAATTATTTTCATAAATACTATTTTATAGAGTGTAAAAAAAGGTTATGTTATGACTGTCGTAGACATATTCTACATATTTAGTTCGATGAAGATCTATCAAAAAAACTTTTCGTAAAAGTAATCTTGAACATATTTTTCAAGATCAAATTTTTTATGATCGCATTCTGTTCTATTCATCGAGCGGGGTTCTATTTATCGTTTCTTCATAATTTAATGTTAAATATTTGTCAACTAAATTCCATTTATAGTAACTTATGCAGGATGTGGTACATAACTATAGCTAGGATTTTTCAAGTACTTTCGACAGTTTAACAAAACAATGTTTCGATGAAAGATAATTAGTATTTAGTCGGATACATATTGAAAAAGAACAAATTTCGAAAATTATTGTTTTTCTACTAAAAGTAAAGATCACCTTGACTGCTTTAAATGACACCCTATATTTTTGACATTATAGGGTTATTGCTGATGAGAAAATGAATTCAACGACCTGCTATACTATGCTCTTCAGATTGTTTATTATAAATCTGTCTTGAAAATTATGTTCACTGAACCAACGAAGGAAAAATATCTAGACCAAAGATAACAACTATAACGGTTAATTACAGTATAAATTGGGCACCTTTCCCCTATAAGGTAGTTGAGCCAGTTACCGTGGGGTAGTTAATTACGGCGCCTTTTGTTTGTTTAGAAACATAATTAACTTTATCCTTATCGGACGAGACATATCAAATTCTTTCATTTAAAGTCAATCAATTATTTATTTGTGTTCTTAGAAGTTCTTAAAATACCAACAATTATTTCAATCTTTTGATACTGAATTCACGAAATTATAAAGGAGACTTGGTACTTAGATCATGGAAAAAGTTATGTCGATGAAAGTTTATCATTAGGTCCTTAAGAAGTATATAAGTTGCGTTCATAAATAGGATGTCCCAAAATTATGGTATTTCCGAGAAATGAGCGATTCCTGATGTGATTTCAAGCAGCTTTTTCCTTTACAAAAATTTTCTCCGAAGCATCGTTAACGAATTATTTATATAAAACACTGACCAATGAGAGGCGAGTTCGCTCGGCGCTAGGCGATCGCGCCAATGAGCGGAATCGAGCTGCGTGCGCTCGTTGGCTCGGTCGCCGCGCGCCAACCAAGCTCGCCTCTCATTGGTCACTGTTTATCGTTAATAACTCGTAAACGAAGCCGCGGATTGCAATTTCGCTAAGGAAAAAGTTACTTGAAATAACCTCAGGAACCTCTCATTTCCCGGAAGTACTATAATTTTGAGACACCCTCTGTAAATAAGTTATATTCAGAAGCGCTAGAACTCTCGAAGGCTGCTGCTCACAGGGCACGGTAATTGGCTCCTCTAAGTTGGTCTAAGTTCTCGCGGACGCTCTACTATACAGAGACGGCCCTAAACGCTGTCGGCGCGGCGCGACGAACAGAGTGGAAAATGATTTGCTTCGTTCCTGGGTTAGATAAGGTGGGGGACGCTGCTGAACGCCACTCTAGGCGCTGCCACTGCCGATCTCTACAATCACAGCCGCAACCGGGATCGATCTTCTTACGGGCACGAGGACCAGCTGGTCTACGTCTACGTTACAGCGCCACGTTACTTCCGCAGCCTTGGCAAACTGCTGAATCGCTTCTCGAGAAGGTAAGGCGCGACTTTACGACGAGGTAAATTGCCTCCCGGAGTCCATCAGAACCTTCCACCGAATCCCGGCGCCTGGTCAAAGGAGGGGGGTGGCTTCCTTCCTTTGCCCTTTGAGGAACGCGAGGACCTTCCCTGATGGGTTTCCAAACGGGACCGAGGCGCGTTACCGAACCGCCGAGCAGACGGTATCGCTTGAAAGCCCCGGATCGATTACCCTCCGTCACGGTTATGACACTATTAACACTCTGTGCTACTTCAGAAACCACCACCGAGCAGCCTCTTCGGGTTCACGAGGGCTCTCGGCCTCATCAGCGCAAGAAAATGCCGGCTTTTGACGATGAATCACGCTGCCCGGCAATTGATTTAGGCTTTCCTTGTTTCGAGTGGCTACTAGTTGCGAGCGACTCGTTATCAATGGAACCTTTCATGGTTTACGTTTACTGCTGTTATTTTCGTTCTTGATGAGATTATAAGGATTGAGAAGGACGTTTGTAAAGATTCTAAAAATAATGTTAAAATGTTTAACGTACGATTAATGTAAACGGAGAAGATGAACTTTGGTATAGAAAACTTCGATAATTGGAAACGAATGAATGAAAACGATTGCACGATCAAAACATGTGCGTCGCACTGAAGAACAAACTCAAAGAATACGCAAATATTAGGGTCGACCGGAAAGTTCTGTCCGTTTTTGAATTGAAATATAACACAATTTTCATACATTTAGTAATATTTATTGTAGAACATACTTTCCATCGTTACTTATGACTTCTTGCCAGCATGATGGCAACTTGTAAATGCCATTTTTAAAAAATGATTTATATTTAGAGGCGAAGAACTCAACTAGTGCTTGGTTGACATCAGCTTCAGTTTTGAATTTTTTTCCTGTAAAAAGTTTTGCAAAAAGAGAAACAGGTGATAATCGGAAGGTGTTAGGTCTGGGGAGTATGGTGGATGTGACAGAATTTGCCAGCCTAGCTCTGCGATTTTCTGACGAGTCGCCAAAGCAGCATGTGGTCTGGCATTATCATCGGTAGCCATGTTTTCACGATCGCGT